ACACCACAAGAACCTGCATACCAAACACCCACATTAAGACCTCTGCACACGCAGTCTCCTGCTCTCTGGCTCCCTTTTCAGGCAAACTCCCTAAGCAAACTCCCTCTGTTTGCTGCCCTGTATTCATTGTTAATACACAGTTCACTGGGGGCTGCTCTTTCATAAAGCTGCCTATCCTAGCTCCACCCTTCAGTTACCTAAATCAGACCCACCCAAAGCAAGCCCTGTCACTCAGCCACTCCAGAGGGGGGAAGAACAAAAAAGGAAAGAGGGAGGTGCAGGAGGCAAGAAAGCAAACACATACACAGGGGAAAAGGGGGGAAAAAAGGCCAAACACATAGCAGGCACTAGACAAACACTCTAGTATCAATCAGCCACCCTAAGTCACAAGCACAGAGAAAAGCCTCTTCCAGACAGTCCCACACCTGAGCTGTTTATCCCAGAACAACTGCTTCCTGCTCAGCTTGCTCATCACCAACCAGAAACCTGCCCTAAAACAGGAGGAAGGACTTAAGTGGGGCACATATGCCACATGACAAGACATAAACATATGGGGATATTAAGCCGTGAAGTGGAAACCAACTGATGTGAGGAAGAGAACATGTAAGAGAAACCTTAAGAAGAACATTTAGCAAGTAGGACAAGCAGCCAATATCAATTCCATCAACCTTTCAGCCCCATGTACCAGAAGACTGGTGCAGAGCTAGTCCACAGGACTGATTCTGCAGGGTGTTGACTCCTATGTACCCAGATCCTAATCCTACAGGCCCCATACACCTAATCTCGCAAATACAGCCACACCATCTGCTTTCAGGGTTCCCCAAGGTCTGGAAGTTTGGCAGCATGGGAGCAACAATTAACGCTGGCACTGTTCCCCTGCAGCCAAATTTTCAGACATGTAAAGAGCCCTGAAGGTCACATGACACAGCTCTGCAAGCTGGATCTGGTGTGCAGGCTGGGGCAAAAATGCAAAGCAAATGGAGGCAGCAGGAATTAACAGAGGGACAGAAAAGACTAGCTTCTAGTGGGGTAATGGTAACATGGGAAAGATGTAATGTAACAAAGCAATGCATCTATAATGGGCAACCACACACAAACCATTGCGACTTTCTCCAAGCTTTTTCATCCCTTCTAATTAACCGAAGGAGTAGGAGGCCCTGTTCAGCTTGTACGTTTTACTGCTGCCTTTGATAAACATAAAGCAGAGACAGAAGGGAGGGAAACTTCAGATACCACCCCCCTCCCACAAACACCACCCACACACATGCACCCATGCACAGAAAATACTGAATCAGAAATTGCATTGTAACAAACAGCATAAACATCGTAACTGAAATCAGCGTAACTGAAATCAAATATTTACTTCTCTATTTTGAAACATAGCAGGCAAAATCTTGGCCCCATGTAACTTGATGTAAATATTTAAAAGGACATCCACACTGGTAAGAAAAACACAATTTTTGTATTTCTGATGGACAAACCAATAATCATCAGTCCAAAGACCCTATTCCTCTGCCCACAGAGAATTTATTTCTTGTGGAAAAAGACAGAAGCCCGCTATCCCTGTAGATATTTAAAGCTTGCTAAAACAAAGCTCTTGGAAAGTGTATTATTGAGAATAACAGTCCTACCTAGACAAAAAGATGGATTAGATCATCTAAAAAAATTCCATTCCTATTTGCTACTCTTCTGATCTATAAGAAATATTTGTGAGAATTCATTGACCAAAAGAAGTATATGGCCCTAAACAGTAAGTTGGCAAATTAAACCTTCAAGTCAAAATGAAAGTTGTTCCCATAACTGAGAGAAATTGGTTTTGCAGCATTGAGACATTCAAGTTACAGTATTTTGAAAGTCTTGCCTTTAATGGAACCATAAATTGTATGTGCTTGCATTTGTTCTATAAACCTTATGATTTGTTCTTTCAAAAATATAGACTATTTTACATAATCTACCCATGTGGTAAAAAAAATGGATAAACTTTAAGGCCAATGGGCTGGCTCTTAAAGAAACAAATTTTGCAGCAAGCAAATTTGGAGTACATATAATACAAGTACATTTATTGAACATTTTTATTAAAATCTTTTTCATTTTAATTCTCTAAATCACAGATAAATACAAAATGCAATAAAGGCTACTGATCATTAAAGTTCAGTAAAGATCATTAAAGTTCTCTCTAAAAATTATATGAGGTCTCAAGCTTATTTCTGTCAGTGCTTGCTGCTTCAAATTCACATAGTTTATACATTTACAGAATTCCCTTGGCTACCAGCTATGCAGACTCAGGCCTGGCTCTGAGAAATCAAGCTAGTCTATACCATGTACTGACTGCCAGTAAGAAAGGTTCTGTAAGGCAGTGTATACCTTCACTGACACTTACGAACTCCCCTTGTCTTTAGAAGGGTAGCACAGGTGTAAGTAACTAGAAGCTATATTCTGCAATATTCTGTTATGTACAGGAATTAATATATATAATCCAGTTCTCACAAGGTTGGCTAGTTCCATAGGGCTAACAGAAACATATGGTAATAAAAACATGCCTGAAAAAATACAATGGCAGTAGATCTGCTGAGTGAAGCGGTGTCATTTTTAACAGGAAAGCTGTACTATAAACCTGACAGTACAATTCACTATCTTGATTTCTGACAGATTCAGCATTTAGGTATGTGAGGCATGATCCATGCTTGCTGATCTCCTTATCTGTTTTCAATAGAGCCAGAGAACTCCTGGCTAAATCAGTTCCCTGTTAATGATTCAGGCTCACTAAGGGTTCCTAGACTGGCTGGTCTTAGTTGGAACCAGTGCCTTTTTTTTTTACCTTTGAACCACAGCCTGCTGTTGTGACCCAGTCATTTGCAAGATTCTTCCTGTCAAGACAGGCAGTGGTGTCATTACACATTCGAGCACATTACTTGACGCATTACAGCTTCTCTCTCTTTTAAAAGATAGCTTTATGAAGACACTCAAATCCATTATTTCAAGTCTGATGTTTAATTAACTATCAATGATTCATAATATACCAATTAGCACAGCCTTCTCTCCTATTTTGTCCTGGGATTTCAATCTTCGAGATTTCTGACTGTCAGCAACAATCAGACTTCACTGAAGTTGGTAACAAATGCATGCCTTGATATTAATTTGTATAACTAGCAAAATGATTTTATGAGCCACTGTAAATTCAGAAAGCAATTGAAGAACCATGCAAAATATTAATTTGAGAAAATAAAATATCTGGTATATATTTGCTATTAGAATTGGCTAGACAATGTTAAAAGATAGGTTAAATGTCTTGCTTGAGTGTCAGTCATGTTCTGCCATAAAATAAGATGACCAAAGTCCCCAAAAAGAGTTGTGCAATGCACCGTAAGCAACAATTCTAATCCTGCACATTTTTAAGCTCCATAGATCTACTTATTCTAAGTTCTACTGTGGGTCCACATTACTGATCTAAGACATGAACCATTATCAGTAAGAATCCCAGAACTGACGGGTCAATGGCCAAATCCAGTATGGTAAGATATATTCTAAAGGGCAATGTCTTTAACAATCTAATATTATACATGACCACTACACACATTTTAAAAAATTGATAATATAGTTATTTATATTAAAAGGAAAGTGGGGAAGAAAACTGCGATAAAGCTAATGTTACTGGGGCCTTTGACAGATGTTGACAAAAAATTGAGAGCTATGGGCAGGTGTCTGTGAACAACTCATAACACATCTTCCACAGAGGTGCCCTCTCCAGCCAGGGGAAGATATGGGACTGGCTCCTTAGCTCCCCCCGGCCCTAGGAGAGATTGTCAATGACTCACTAATAGGCTTGGCTCCATCAGTTGTTGCTGTCATAGAACAGTGGATTGAAGAAACCACTGCTGTCATGGTGCTCTCCAGCCCCAGTTCCTGCCCTTTAAAGTTCCTAATGTGCAGGTAGCCTGAGACCAAGAAGCACCACTGGGGCTGCAGCAGCTTTGTCTGATCTTGGGTTGCCTGACAGCTAGGAACTCTAAAGGTTCGGCAGCTAGCCCGATACTGGAGAGCAGAGATTTGTAATAGACTTCCTGCCAGCTCTTTAAAGATCCCCACTTGCAGGCAGTCTGAGATTCAGTAGGACGGCCTTCAGTGTGAGGACAGATGATTGGTGAGACTGGATAAGGGGCAGCATGCTTGGTGTTCTGACAACTCACTGTTGGAAGGGCTACCAGGGAGCCAGGCACTCTCCCTCCCTCCCCCTTGAAGGGAGGAGTAGAGGGCCATGGGATACTGGGAGTCTTTTGGCCAGTACTGTAACTAGCCAAACATTATTGTTGTTTCAGCCAGCAACTTCTTGGGGGCAGATTCGCCATTTTGGCATTGGATACACCATTTTCACCCTATGACAAACTGCTTTAATGTCTGTTTGGTCAAATTTATTGCAGAAAACTCGCATATAGTCACAACAAATGTAATGTCTGACAGAGCCCTGAAAAGTGAACAAACATTCACTGCTCACTCCAGGAACTCCTTAACATAGTAAGAAATCTGTCCATGATGGAAGGATGGCCCAATGCACAAAGCAAGTCAGGAATTTTCCCTGTCTGCAAATATACGGACTACGAGGTTGATTTTTGCAGTCCATGTGTGCTGGAGGCAGAGTCAGGAGAAAGCCCATAGAAAACACAGAGATGCAGTGGTAAATATCAAAGCTAGGGAAGAAAGACTGGTAGCACACTGCTTACCACGGATTCCTAAGTCAGGAAATTGGTCCAGCTGCTTGTTTCGGCAGCATTTAGGAAAACAGGGTTTTAGGTACATTACACAAAGATTATACCAAAGATTATAGCTGAATCATAGAATCAATTTTCCTCCTAAAAGATGCACATTCTCAAGGCCCCAGTGGAGAAGCAATATATAAAGCAATACAAATCTGTAAAGCTGTTTATGCTTTGTAATTTTCTGTCAGCCACTATAGAGCTCCAATATTTCAACCCAAAATTAAGCCACCACTTGTAATCTCTTACTTAAGTTTGATTTCTTGATCACGGATCTTCTCCTTCAGCTCCCAGTTCTCCTGGAACACTGCCTGTGCTGTTAAATCAGTCTGTTTTTTGGAAGTGGCAAGCATATTTGATTCCTCCTCTGCCTCCTGAACTCGGTTTTGCAGAGATATGAGAAGAGATGATTGTCGAGCATTGTTTTCTTTGTAGCTTTCCACTTCAGCTTTCAACTCTTGGAATGATGCCTCCTTAGAGGCCATTTTAGACCTGAGTTCAAGAAGCTATAGACAGAAAAAGAAGAACAGAAAAAACATACAGAAGGGAAGAAGAATTTAGTATAGACTAAAACATCTGATATTAAAACATTTTTGGAATCTAGCAGGAAATACATTGTGGAACCATATTTTCCTATTAGGAACTACAAAAAATGAGATAACAAATAGCTGCCTTTTTTCAGTATTTCCCAACTGCTTTCTGTTAACTTCGGCTCAGGATTTTGAAGCAATAAGTAACTAACACAACCTTAATTAGTATCAGCTTCAATGCTGCAAAGATAACGAAGTAAACAAAAATAGCCACTTTGTTTTCAATAGAACTGACAAAGGCTGCTTGCAGATGTTAAAAAAACCAAACAAACAAGCTGTGACTGACCAGAAGCAGCAGCACAGTACTTCAACCTGGGTCTGGAGCATCTGTATAGATCAAGTGCATCAGCAGGGCTTTTTGGAGCCTTTACCTAAGCTGAGCTGTTAAATAAAAGAGCCAAAAAAGCCCCATTAAAACACCCAATCTATACAGACATTGGGAAAGCTGGGTCCAGCTAATGTGTTGCCTCTCCTGGGCACGCACTGGGCTTGGTATGGGAGCTCTGAAGCTCACAAAGGATCTAGGGTTTAAAGTAAAGCATCATTTTTGTTGGGGTTTTTTAATGTCTGCAAGCAGCCAAAGTTAATAAGAAAAAGAGTATTTTCAAATATCTAAAATACATTGGAAAAACAGATTGAAAAATAAAAAACAGAAAGGTTACTATTGTCTTTTTAATATAAATTACATTAAAAGGTATATTGGCAAGAAGAGTCATTCTGTAAGTTCTGTGAGAGCAGGAGGTGCTCCTTCTTACTGGAAGAGCACTGTGCAGGGACTTTTTATCATTTGATACATCATGTGGAGACGGGATGCTAGAGAATGTTGCTGCCAATCACACCTGTACATGTGTATGACAAAACCTGATTTTCAAAGGCTTAAGAATTCAGCTAAATTCAGATGATTAACACTGGAACAAGAAAAGGATCTTTCTGATCTCATATGAGTACCCCTGTTCCAAGGTATGAAGATGCTAAAGCTTTACAAGACTGAAGACTTTTTTGCGATACCTTCTAAGAGACCAATAGTATAGTTCGGAGAGCTATTAGACTAGCCTTCAGGTGTGAAGTGCCCATTCCTCAGGTCCTGATGTTAAAGCAGTTTCTCAAGGGATAAAAACTTAGGTCCTGAAGAAAGGCACCTGATAAAAAGGCTGCACAACAGCTCTCAACTATACAGTTGGTCCAATAAAAGATACTACCAAAAAGCCTTGCCTCAGAGATATTTCTTAGATCAGAGGTCAGCAATGTTTTTGAACAGAGTGCTAAAAACACCTACAACCTCAACTTGTAAGATGTTGGCATGCCAGGGGCGGATGGCAGGGGACCCACAAGGGACCCAATCCTTGTTGTGGCAGTGCAGCCCCAACCCCTTCCCCACCATCCACCCTGAGGTGTGCATGCCAAGCAAAATGCCTTTGCATGCCATGCTCTGGCACCCGTGCTGGGAGTTACTTACTCCTGTCCTAGACCATCACAGCTACAACACTCCAATCCTACTAAAGCTTTTCAACTCACAGCATTTTGTTGGTGTTTTTCCCCAGTAGGAAATAACATATTTCCTCCCCCACGTCACCCAAGTCATTCCTGTAAACGGCTGAAAATTTCCTCCCAAAAAAATCATCCTGGAGGCAGACATCTGGCATGTAAATTTTCAGTCTAACTCCCCAAAGTATGGCAATGTTATAAACAACAGAAAGCAGAGTCTTACAATAAAAAAAAGTTAAGCAACATTTAGACATTGTTGCCAGCCCCACTTATAAAGAACAAGACGAAACATGAAGCATTTCATTTTGAACACATGAAGATTAAAATTATGCAATCAATTAAACTATGTTGAGTAGTTCTTAGATGTTGTTTCAGGGCATAGGCACAAGAACAAGCGACTGTGATGTAAATCAGGGATAGATTTCCTGTGTGTCAAGCTTCCCTGTGGTAACTGTCTATGTATATGCTTTTACTCCATAGTAAACAAAAACTAATCTGTGGTAGTTTAGCCCTGAATGAGAAAGACAAATTAAGTATCTTGCTTATGGTTACAAAGGAGAAGTCTTGCACAACCACAAATAGATCCAAATATCCTGAGAGCTAGTCCAGTGCTTTATACACAAGATAATCCCTACTGAGTTTACAAAAAGACACAACTGAGGGGACAGGCACACCAAATTCAAACACTCAATTGGCACCATCGTGCTTTACAGAGCATGTTGTATGCGCCAATGAGTTCCTTGGTGGCCACAGAGTCCGATGTGTGAGTGACAGTCCTGCCCACAGGTAGGGCACACCCATGCACTAGCAATGATCTGAATCTGAGCCACAGATTCTTTCCTCCTCTGACACTGGTCATCACAAAACTTAATCCAGTCCGCCTCACTGCGCCTCGCTCGATCTGCAAGCTGACCCCACCAGCCAGGGGAGCATTCTGAACTGCGCAACCTTTGGAATCTCTGCGGATGATTAGGACAGAAGTCATCTTGCAAGCATCCTAAAATTTGCACAGCGGTCAGCCTCTCTTTCTAGACCCTTCGCAAACTTCAGAGTACAGCACATATTTCAGGATCCTTGAGATCTGGCATTTGCATGACAACCTAACCACCTGAATCTTTTCTTACAAATCAGCGTTCCCATAAATGACATACCAGCATGATTTAACACTTCCACATTTATCACCCTGTCTTGCCATTTTATTCAAAGAATTTTACACAGGCATCTGATACAAAAGCTGTTTAGTCTTTTGGTACGTTTGGCATAGGTCATCCATGTTTCTGAGCCATATAGAACAGTGGATAAAACATGTCCAAAAATATGGATTTTCACGTTAGTTGATGGTTTGTTATTGTTCCAGGCTCTGTCTTGCAAAAGACCAACGTTCCTGGCTGCTTTACCAATTCTGCTAGCCATCTCAGCATCAAGATCTACATTGCTGGTAACAATAAAGCCAAGGTAGAAAAATTGGTAAACAACATGCAGACAAGTACCATCTAGGGTGATATCTGGAAAGTACCACAGGGTAAATGAGGGTGTGATTTGCAGTATATTAGCTACTCTAAATTAAGTGCCTGTGCTCCTGTTTTACCCGACGGTAAATGAAAACAGGCCACAGTTCCTTTGTTAAGTGTGCCCATGGCTTCAGTCTTCTTTTAATTAACGAAGAATAGTCTTACATTTAAGACACTGGATTGAGCGTAAAAGGTTTGGATAAATTCCTGGCTCTACCAGAGACCACTATCTAACCTCCTGTAATGCAATTCTCCTTCTATAATATGGGACAATACCTCCTTTCTCCCCCCACTCTCTCCTGTTAGTTTAATTAGTAAGCCAACTGGAAGACGGAGCATCTCAGAATAAGAATGCTGCACAGCATCTAATGCAACAGAACGTTATTTCAGTTTTTATCATTTGATAAGCGTTACATTCAGCAACAGGAAATTTGGTATTTTGGAGGAAAGGGATGGTTGATTTCTTGATGCTTATTCTGTCTTTTCCAAAAATATCACTGAAAAAAAGTCTATAATGTATCACCATGACAATAAGTAAATAAAATGCTTACTCTCACTGATAAGTCACATAAGAAATCACAATTCTTATCTTCCTTAATTAAAAGGAAATGTAAAACAAAGGTTCTAACCATGTTCATTAACAACCTGAACAGACTTTACAATAATGAGAGTTAAACAGCCCAATTCCAGCTCAATCCCAGACAGTTACATTTCTATAGATCTATATTTTGGACTTAATATAGACAGACATTGGACTTATGACACACTATAACCTGCCCGACATCTGACTCCCCAGGTACCTCTCTACTTTTACCTGCTACATCCCCCTTCCCCAGTACCCCTCCCATCCTGTCGCTCACCCCCGACACCTCAATTTATATTTTCAGTAACTGGCTTTCTTGTATGCATACTAGCCTCTGGCTTCTTGCATCCTTCTTACTAGCTAAGCTCACCTAGAGCCTCAAAACACCACTGCAACCAGCAAGCCTCAGACCTTTTGAAGATCTTACTGGTCTGGGCTTTCCCAGCCAGGACTGTGCATGCATGCAGTAGCTGGAAGTTATAAGGCTCCTCCTACCCGCCTTTCACCAGGGAGGTTTGTAGTCCTGGCATTTCTTGGGGGCTGCTGTGCCACTGGCAGTCCCACCAGGCCTCCTGACCCTGGCAGTGTGCACTTTTAGGTCATGCCCAGGACCTGGGGTCTCTTCATTCCCCATAGCCCCAGCCCATACCTACATGTTTGTCCTGGTACGGGAGCTCAGCAGGAAGATGTTCTTCCCCTGCTGGCTGGTGATAAACTAAACTGCCACCTCTAGCTCTGAGAGCAGGGCATTAAATGGTTGTCAAAGAAAATTAAAAAGGCAAATAGGTGCGGAGTGAGGAGGGTGGCACTTACTCCATCTGCAGGTGGAGCTTGGGGAACTCCAGCAGCAGGAGATTCACCTTCAGGAACACCTGCTGGTCCACCAAACCAGAATCCAACAAAGTGGGGGGCGGGGGGAAGGGGGGAGGCAGTCACAACATCCCCAGCAATGCTGAATACCCTCTCACTTGAAACAATGGTTGGTAAACAGGACAGGGGTTCCCGGGCATCCATGGCCAGATCCAGCCACATCTGGCTGCAGATTGCCCACGAAGTCCAGTGGCTTCACGTCCTCGGCAAGATAGGTAACCACCAAAGCCTCTGCGCTACTTGCCCGAGGCTGGGATCTGGTGCCTCTGGACCCCAACATGGAAAGCCATGCCCTTGGCCCACATGGTCAGCACCTGTCATGGAGGAGACGGGCTGCTGCTGGCAGTGCTGGCACGGGAAAGTAGATCCCCGTCTTCCACATCCCCCCCCGCCTCTGCCTTTTTGCCTCCCTGACTCTGTTCACCAGCACCTCTGTCCAATGATCAAGGGTTTTGCTGGCGCACATG